AGTGTCAAAGCACTCAATGATATAATAATAATAAAAAAAAAAGTTTAAGTGTCAGATGAAAATGCCCTTGACTGTACATACCAGCATTTTAAGAGCCTGGCCAGTCACAGTGCGCTAAAGACGCTGGTTTGGGTCGGCTTCAGTCCTGAGGTTTGGACCAGTTGATTTCCACTTCTGGCTAGCTAAGTGCTTACATTCAGGTCCAGACAGCCACCAGGGAAGAGCACGGCGCGCCTTGCTGGACAATCGCTTCTAATGCTAAACACAGACAGGTCAGGCCCTTCTCTGAAGAGGCCGCAGAAACCCGGGGGAAGACAGACAGTATTTCTATCCAGACAGGTGCAACAGTTGTCTGATTTATTTCCTTTCCCTGTCCCTCGTGCTCAAGGGGAGGGTCCACCATTCTGGAATCAACCTGCCTCCTCCTCCCCTACTTCATCTAATCCACTTATGTTTCTGCACTTAGTTTTTTTCCATAGGTTGTAAATAAGAAAAATCATCAAAAATCGTGAGAGTATCCTAAGTAAATCAACAGTTAAATGCCAGGTAGTTTTACACAAAAGACGAAATTGGATTTATCATTACATTAGCATTAATATAAAAGGCAATATGGGATGGGCCATCTTTTTTGGAGGCTTTTCTTAGCAAGTTGTCCTCTGAGTAAGTATACTATCTTATATAATCCATGATGGTTACTCAGTAATGACCCAGACAAGCAGTCAGCACTTCTCAAAGCCCTGGTGTTGACACACCTGACTGTGCACAGGTAGGCTTCAGGAAATGATTGGCATGACCTTGAAGACTAATACTATGACAAACATCTCATACTTGCACATTTTATTGCTAAAGCAGAACGCGAAAGTGAACGTTTTCAGATAGGAGGCCAGTCAATGACATGCCATTGTCTTTATCAGCCGATTATATTTACATTTCAAATATTATATTCTTGTTCTTGTTAATTCTTGTTATTCTGTTATTCAGTATGGTATTTAGACTCATTCTAGTGCATCGTGACCCGAAGACCCCAAAACCTCCACATATGAAAAAAAAGGAATATAAAAGACCATGCCAAGCGCTACGCTTCAGCCTAAGCGCAGCTTGTTTTCTTGAAAAGAAAGGTCTGTATGCCTGCAGGATACAGGAGGACTGAGGACTAATCACCTATAAACCTGCTGGCCATTAACATTAATCTGGTTAAAAGATATAGGAAGTCTTCTTTAAGGTGTCAAAGTGTACTGGCTTTTCTCACGGCAGTCCTCTGAAATCCTCTGAAAACTAAACGCGCACGATTGGGCAAACGTATATTCGTATGGCCGTATCTAAAACTGCACTAATTTTGTTTTTAAATATCTTTGGGCAGAACGTTAAAGTACATTGGAGTCCAAAAGTTTGAGTTCGCATAGAAAATCTGGGATTCAAAATCTTATTTAAACCTGGAAATAAACTAAATTTTAGGAGAGACATCATAACAAAAAATTAATAATAAATATATCAAATTATTCCCTATTTAAGTAAATTTGTGACACTAAACATCTTTGTACAAATGGTCAGAAATTCTTGCTCCCATTGAAGCACAAGAAGCTCTTTAGATCATGCTGGAAAATGTAATCATCAGGTTTTACATGAACTTCGATCATTCAGCTAAAGTTCTACTGTCATTAAAACAAAAGAAAAAACGTAAAAGTACCGAGACATTCTGATCTTCATTTAAATGCAACTTTTTGATCAAAATGTTAAGCAGATAACATAATTAGCATTAAATTAGAAAAATGTTAAACAGAAGCGGTCTCATGCTTTTGGGACACCTCTGTATACAGTACATATTAGCAGATACATTTGGACTGAAGAAACGCTATGCACACTCTACCACAACACTAATATAAACTGCAATGATGAGGCGTAAATACGATCAAACGCAAAAAAGAATTCCCCATACTTCACCATCCATTGACTAAATCCAATTTGTTAAGACCCCTCCACAACTCACTTACCGAGTCCAGCTCAATGGAAATTTAATTTCATAGATTGAACATCCCATTATCTCTTTCGGTCAGATCCTCATCTGAGTAAAGTATGGGTGAGGTGAGCGGCCCCGGAGCAGAGGAGAGACGCGGCTCCTCGCAGTCCGCCGCCTTTAACAGAGTAAAAGCCCTAGATATTAGTCATAAGTGTTCTTTAAATTCATTAGCATCTTCATGCGCAGGCGTCTGGAGTGTTGGGGGGGAGATCACTGTAATAAGTTTAGCTTGGCGGTTCTGGTTCCTGTGCCGTCCTTGGTGTCACAGGGTAAGTGGCTGCCAGCGGCTCGGGGGTTGAGAAAGAAGCCAAGAAAGTCTTGCAGATGAGGGCTTAGGTTTGTACCTGGGCATTCAGAGCTGATCCGCTCCAAGGTAAGAACTCGGAGCCCTTCTTTATTCCACAACATAATCACATTCAAGTTGTGCTTGTGAACACATCTGGTGTTTTCAATGCACAGCACAGCAAAAGTGCCCCTGAGTGACCCTCACATCACTCAGTTTTGGCCAATGATGTCTTTTATGAGTATGACAGCTAGCTAGCATCCTGTGTGGCTAAACAAAATGGACTGATCCAGCTATGACCTGCCTATGCTGGATGAGGGCACGACCTCAGATGTATGTATAGGCTGCCTTGAGAATGATATCCCAACAGTGCTGTGTAATGACCCAAATTTACCGCTTAACACCAGTGGGCATAAACCCAAGCCTCTTATACTCAAATGACTCAACCATTGGAATTCATTTGCCATTTACTGCAGGGGGAAAAAGTCTATAACTGCACAGCTACAACTATTATGGCACATCTTCACGGGAAAAGAGGTGTTAAACAGAAAGGCAACTAAATAAGTCAAATTATCGCTATACGCAATGGCGGTTGCTCTAAGAAAGCCTGACAGGAGCTAGGGCTAACCGAGAAATGTTTAGCAAGAGCCAAGTGGCTAATGAGAAAAGAGAATGTTGTCTTCTCTTACTCTTCTCATTAGAAGCACTGAAGCATCCTGGAGATTTAACTATCCACAACAGCGCATGCAGACACCGCCAACACAAACTCTCACTGCAAACACTGCTGAAATGACTGCTGACACTTCAATTAAAAAAACGTGAGTGAAAAATCACCTAAAGACCCTCGGAAGACAGAAAGCCTGCAGTCTCAAAGCAACAGCTAGCTTTAAAAGGCATGATCTAGTGATTAAAGAACACTTAATAATAGATCAGAACCTCAAGGCCGGGCTTTTCAACAAGTTTTTTAGTAGAAGCGGAGATGGTCTGACAAAAATGTGGTTCCCCAGACTCACCTGCCAGGGCTGACATCTGCTGGCTAGTTATCACCTGTAATGCATTTAGGCAGAGCGAAAAGGCTGGCGGAAAAAACGTTCGCTTCAGCCACTGCTCTTAGCTCACTGCTGCACCGACCGCAGGCTCATAAGCTTATTCAGGCTTGTGTGCCAGAGAGGAGGGAGGCCAAACACAGCTCATGAAGATTTAATGAACTCTGAATTCCTTCTGAATTTCCCTCGCACTGATTGGAGACAGAGATGTGGAACTTGTAGTAGCATGGGTTTTATTTTTTTCATGGAAAGCAAATATTAAGACTGTTTCAAATAATGGGAAACTCAATTACGCTGCCTCATTTAGGTCAAATTTTAAGGCAGCACTGCATATATACTTCACAGAGACCACAATCCCAGAATGCATTGTGTTGACTTTAATCAAAAAATACCAAAAAGTATCAATAAAAATGCTTAATGTAATTAAAAAGTGATACTTTACCCAATATTTGTGTTTAGAGTGAATTGAGAAACTGCCTAAGATGTTCACTAGGTTTTGAAAAAGGTATTTTCTATGCTTTTTTAAAATGAATGTAACTTATGAATATTAAACCGTTATAGTTATAGACAGTTATAGCATAAATGGCATGGACACTTAAACTTAAATGGCAATTTAAAGCACAAAAACAAGTACTTTTATATCACATGATACTCAACAATCACTACAACATTTTTATATGGTACTTTCAGGAACTAACCAATAATACTTCTATGGTCTCACAATAGTGCATATCCAAAAACACTGACATTTATGGCTACCTATGGTACCTTTATTAATAGCTAGTTAGTGATATAAAAAGTGATGCAAGGAAAAATATACAAATTAACAGGTGTTAAGGCCTGTTCACTACTATAACTAAAGATAGGTATATCGATAACTAAATTAGTGTCCATAGGTGCTGCGGTTATATCGTCTGCTGCTTTAAATGCTCAAAGTTTTTCCATTGTGATTCCAATACCATTGTTTCTCTGTCGTTATTATTTTAGCTGTAATATGGACTTCCCTATTCTCATAGAATTAAAATGATTACTAAAACTTCATAGTTATAGTTATCATCCTTGATTTGAATGGCCCTTTAGCCTATGATGACCAAGTACTTTCTTGCTTTCCACAGTCTTTAACAAGAGCTACACCCAAAATAGAATTGAGCATGCGGTTAAGGCACATGCTAAAATATTAAAGGTGTTTAATTTAAATTTAACACAGTGGAAATGAATCAGGTAGCCACTCAAGCCGTTCTGAGATCTACGACATCAAGAAAGTTGCCATGACTGCAAATACCTCATCAACAATATCACTTTTCATATGGTTAATGAGAAGACCTCATGTTCATTTCTGTGAATGTATCCTGTGGGCTCACAAGCATGGGTATTTTGTAGGCACATCCGGTGTGTCTGTAGTCTCTGCCACAAAAGTAAATGAGCGTATTTGTGTGTGTTAGAGTGTACGTGTTCGTCAAAATAAGGGGCTATGAGGGTAAAGACCTAAGGGTTGTTTAAAACTCTTTGGTGCTATACTGATGTCTGATATGTCTAACCGCTTTCCGGCAGATCATGGTTGATGTATCAATCCCGGGCACTGGGATTGGCACTTAACTTTTTGCCCACCCACACACTCACACATTTACACAACATGCACTCAACAAATTCTCACCTTTTTCTCATGATAGTGTAATGCAGTTCTTCCTGTTTGATGTCTGCATGATCTCCGCTGGCCCGCTCGCTGCCCTCACTGTCGTCACTGCTGAAAACAGAGGCCAGCTCCTTTTTGGGCACCCGTGTTGGCGGCAAGGGGATGGTGCGTTTCTCTGCCAGTCGCCCACGGTTCTGCAGGAGCACAGAGGGGACAGACAGACTGAGACTCTGGGAACAGCCTTCTCTGATTTTACTGGCTTGAGCTGTGGTACAGAGAAATGGCTAACGTTCCCGATCCGTCACACACTGGTTGAGGTTTCAATTCTCTTTAGGCTGATAAAACACATTTCGAATGGATTACAGTCATATTCATAATGTTTTTTTCGCATTTGCATTCATGTAATTTGATTCATGAAAGGCTAGTTTTCAGTACACACATAGACTTAAAGCAATGTGAATTCATAATTTACCCAAGCAGCCGGACCGGTGTGGATATTCACTGTACTTCAGAATCACAGATTCTAGCCTACGTCTTGGAATATATGACCAAAATAAGAATTTTCACTGTATATTGTCATCTGAACAAGCAAGTAACAAGTCTGCCACTTTTGTTCTGACCAACTGAGGGAAAATAAAGAAATTATTTTAACCCAAAAAGCAAATTATGCTCCATTCGAACTGGTTGTCTTTAAAGGGGTCATATCATGTTGCTAAAAAGAACATTATTTTGTGTATTTGGAGTAATGAAATGTGTTTATGCGGTTTAAGGTTCAGAAAACACATTATTTTCAACATACTGTACATTATTGTTTCTCCTCTATGCCCCGCCGTTCTGAAACGCGATTTTTACAAAGCTTATCGGTCTGAAAAGCGAGGTGTGCTGTGATTGGCCAGCTATCCAGTGCGTTGATAACAGAAAAAATGAGCCGATATGGGCCGATACCGATATGAATACATACATAAAACCATGTCTGCATTTGTGATCGGAGAAATGACAAACAACAAGCGCTACTCTACACTGCTCAAAACTCGCGTTTGAATCATCAGTGGCAAATCCTTTAAATATAAAAAACGTACTTACAGACTGTGAGTCAGAACAGCCGGCATTGTAGTCTACTCTACCAGGATCAGGAAACAGTCCTCCATAAAATGTGCTGCACACATCTGAATATTTGGGTTGAACTGTTCTGGAACAGTGTTGTAAATACAACTTAACCACTGATTTCTAGTTGTGTCCTCTTTTGGAAGGCCAAACAAAGTAGTTTCGCTTTCACAATGAAACACACAGCGTGACACACGGCGGGCTTGAGTGAGCGGAGTGAGCAGCAGCCGGCGGGCTTGCGGCAACCACATGTGACGACCCCGGGTCTCCGCTTCATCCACGGTGAAAGCCAATCCGGCGATCCACAGCGCGAAGTTGATGTATTTCCTCAGCGACCAGCACGGATCAGCTCTAGGCATGACGAAGCAGATATCGTCCTCTTTTGGAAGGCCAAACAAAGTAGTTTCGCTTTCACAACGAAACACACAGCTCCTTCACGACATGGCTGCAGCAACAATACTACAGCGAAAATAAAAGTTACTCCTTCTTTCTTTGCGTGAACATTTGGATGGCATTGTGCAAATCTTCCCACATCATGACGTAGACATGTGGGGGCATGTTAGAACGAACCGTTTTAGGTAGGTGTGGTTGACTCTTAACTTTTATAAAGAATATCTCTTTGGATTTGAGACTTTAGTCTTTGCAAATTTACAGATCTTCTTTATGCACCAAGAGCTTGTAACACTTCAAAGAGAAAGGAAAAATTGAAATCGCATCATATGACCCCTTTAAAATACAAATCTTGTGTAATTCCAGGCCATCTGTAATCAGAAGCACATTTAAAACTGGAATTTAATTTCAGTCACATGTGTTTCATAAACACATAATCCTTTCTGGATTACAATCCGCCATCAAAATTATACATTTAATTATTCTAGCTGCTGTGAGAAAAGGCTATAAACGATCCACGACCTGCAGGATCCTCACATGCGACAGCCTAGTAGCCGGGACAACTTCTTTAGGTTTACAGACGTGACGTAATGATGCGGCAGCATGCTCGAATTTACCGCGAAAACCTACCTGTACTACTCAAATTAGAAAACACTATTATAAGCTAACCGTCGTGAATCGCGCTAAAGTAAGGCGATAGTTTTGAACACTGGCAGGTACTTGCTCAAATATTGATTTCGCATCATTTTTAACCAAACAAAGTTACGGACTGCAGCTTTAAGGAATCCAGGATCCATGGCTTTAAAAGTTTGAAAACCCCTGATTTAACAATTTGGGATAAACGACACAATGGTGATAGTTTTGAGGAATCACCCCTTGTGGGCTGTGAACTTGCAGCCATTTGGTTCATAAGCCATGAATCTAATAAGAGCACTACACCAGCCTCAAAATTCAAATTCACATGACAATCTAAAGTTAAAGTTACAGTATTATTCCAAAATCCAGCATTCTAAATTACTATAAATTCCAGCAAATTGTTTCTAGTTTCTCCTGCTGTCATATGACCTACACAGATCAGTCTCACAGCTCACATACATTTAATGCAGCATGCATCTGAACCACAGGTCACAAATCATAAGGAAGTAATGACCGAATGTAGGAAATGCACAACATGCTGAACTCTAACAGCAAAACTCAGCCAGAGAGCCGTGCAGAGGGAAAGACCATTGATCCACAAGACCAGTGATGGAGGATGGGTGAGTGAACGAGACGTGATAGTGATTCCTTCTCTTCCTCTTTCCCTCTATCCACATCAGACATCTAAAGACAGCGAAGGATGAAGGGGATGAGAGGCCCTCAGGGTTTAGTGTGTGACGCTGGGCGACCTTTAATGTGACCTGAAGGGGTCAGTGCAGATTTCTGTGCCTCTATCTCTATCCATGAGTGAACAGAGAAGGAGAGAGAGAGGATTTGAAGGGAAAAAGAGAAGAAGATTAAAAAAGTGAGGGAAAAAAGAGATGAAACAGATTGCAAAAACAGTATGGAATAGATGGGTACACTCACTGTGTCACCTCATAATCATAAAATAAGAAAATGTACACAATTTTTGCCATGTGACCATATTGACTCGGCATCGTGCTGCTTGTGACTGAAAGATCCAAAAGTGCTGGAAACTTATGTAAAAGCACATTTATAGGAGTCTAAAAACACATGTAATATATGCATGTAACTGTTTGTTTGTTTGTTTGTTTATTGTGTCTGACTCAATTATAAATTATTTTATAATTATTTTTCAATTATCAATTATTTTATTTTAAATATTAAAGGGGTCATATGATGTGATTTAAATTTTTCCTTTCTCTTTGGAGTGTTACAAGCTCTTGGTGCATAAAGAAGATCTGTAAAGTTGCAAAGACTAAAGTCTCAAATCCAAAGAGAAATTCTTTATAAAAGTTAAGAGTCAACAACGCCTACCTAAAATGGCTCGTTCTAACACACCCCCACATGTCTTCGTCACAATGTGGAAAGATTTGCATAATAGATTGCAATAAATATTTTGCAAATATTCACGCAAAGAAAGAAGACATAACTTTTATTCTCGCTGTAGTATTGTTGTTGCCGCCGCCGCCATGTGTGTTTTGTTGTGAAAGCGGCGGATCGGCTTTCCCCGTGGACGAAGCGGAGTCCAGCCCGGGGTCGTCACATGTGGTTGCCGCAAGCCCGCCCGCCGCCACTCACTCTAGGCCTCCGGCCTCCGCTCACTCTAGCCCGCCGTGTGTGATGCTGTGTTTTGTTGTGAAATCGAAACTACTTTGTTTGGCCTTCCAAAAGAGGACACAACTAGAAATCAGTGGTTAAGTTGTATTTACAACACTGTTCCAGAACAGTTCAACCCAAATATTCAGATGTGTCCAGCGCATTTTATGGAGGACTGTTTCCTGATCCTGGTAGAGTAGACTACAATGCCAGCTGTTGTGACTCACAGACTGTAAGTACATTTTTTATATTTAAAGAATTTGCCACTGATGATTCAAACGCGAGTTTTGAGCAGTGTAGAGTAGCGCTTGGTGTTTGTCATTTCTCCGATCACAAATGCAGACATGGTTTTATGTTTACGAGGCGCGATGCAATGCAACACGTAAAAAGACAGTTCAAGTCATTATAATCCATAATTATGTCCCCACTGGATGCAACAAATGCCTAGTTTATAATGGGTTTTAATGTTTTTGTCTCGTCGCTCCGGCGTCACAATATGGTAAGGGGCGTAACATTTCCGTCACATGCTTGAGGTATTCGGCCAATCACAATGCACTGGATAGCTGGCCAATCAAAGCACACCTCGTTTTTCAGACCGATGAGCTTTGTAAAAATCAATGCATTTCAGAAAGGAGGGGCATAGAGGAGAAACAATAATGTACAGTATTTGGAAAATAATGTGTTTTTTTAACCTTAAACCGCATAAACCCATTTCATTACACCAAATACAGAAAATAATGTTATTTTTAGCAACATCATATGACCCCTTTAAATTAAACACTTCCCAAAATGGTAAATTACTATTATGAAATACTATTATGAGCATGACTACAAAATGATGAAAATTCAACATTCAAATATTACGAATATTAAACCTTTTTCTGGTTTACGAACATAATTTTATGCATAATTTTGTGCATCATTATACTTCTTTTTTTAAGATTTACAGTCAAATGTAACTCCCCATTTAAATCAATTTATTTCTTGACATGACCAAGCTTTGACCAATTTGTGATACTGCATCACTCTTTATTTTTTTTTTTTTAAGTCTTCTTTCAATGACTATATCGTATAGATGCTTTCTTTCAGTTCATAGCAGAAAATTGAAAAGCGGCACAGCTTACCCTGATCTCCCCTATAGGAGTGTTCAGCGATCCAGAGGACTGGATACAGCTTTGAAAAACTTCAACTGAAAAGTCTGTTTGTATGAATGGGTGGTGTAAGTATGTGTGTGTGTGAGCATGCTTGCATCTCGGTCTCTGTCAAACTTTGCCGAGCCCTGCAGCTATCCTTCCTCCACACCCAAAGCTTGCACGCGCACATACACATATGCAGAGCATCCCACAGGAGTCGAGGCGTGAGTGGCAGGCCGGGGCAGGAGGTGGAGAGACTAGCCAAGAGGCAAACAGGTGCAGCCCCTCTGGATTCTCTCAAGTGGCATACA